TTTCATCTTTGATATTATCCCTGGGGATGTGCACCAAACACTCTTCAAGTATGCAGAGCACACACACACACGCACGCACGCACGCACGCACGCACACACACACACAGTGATGCACACTTCAAGTATGCATAGCACACACACCGACGTAAACATGTAGAGTAAATATTCCTCAGAAGTTGCAGAGATTCTCCCCAGGTATACCAGCCAATCACTCTGTATTTACACCATTGCAGCCTCAAGAAATCTACTACCTGCAAAATATGAAGTAGGCCTCACTTTCCCAATCAGACAGACCTGATCAGATACAGCAGGCATTGAAAGGACAGCTGAGTGTTAGGTAAGGTCAGGTAAGAATAGATGCACTGGACCTCATAAATTGTCGGGTGGCATCCAAGTTCAGGCAAAGTTACACAGAGCAAGGCTGGACGATATGGTTGAAAAATGTTTTTAAGAGTTACATACAAGTGGATATCGATAATTATTAGTTTTTTGTGTTAAAAATCTGAAATGCTGCCAAACCAGTGACGTGATCTTTCCCGTTTTATCCAGTTTTCTCTTGAGCGGTTGTATTAATTTTCTCCTTTCACTTCTCACTGATGCTTCTTATTTTTAAGCACAAGTTACTCAACAAGTTGTTGCTAGATAACCAAAGAGTGAGTGAAGCTGTAATCTTAGGTTACTTCACTTGGTCAGGTTTAGAGTCATGTACATACTTTTTTGAGTTTAGCAAATGGCTGCAAAGAAACAAAGAGTGAAAAATTTAAACGGGTCTGAATACTTTCTGTACCCGCTGTCCATAAAAAGATTTTTTGATTAACTATCGAAATGAAATGAAATTATGTGGGGTTTTTTTTTTTTTTTTTTTTCATTAAGTTGTTTTCAAACTGACAGGCAAGATAACTATTTAAGGATTTTTCTGACTCAACTTTTGAAAATTGGTTCAGGGAGATTTAGACAACACTTTTAGAAATGCATTTGTCATCACATCTCTGATGTTATTAAAAAATATTTGGGATGTGCCGAGGATTCTCAATGCCACAACGTCATCATCAGTGTAAAGTAGGAAACATGCCATCCTTGGACTGAAATATGAGTATGACATCGACAAGGACCAGTGCTGCTACAAATACATGGCGTGGAAAATACATGAATGTAAGGAAAAGTTTAAATGCAAAAATGGAGATGGGAGTTGATTTAAAAATGACACCAAGTAAAATCTTTCTGCAATGCAATAAGTCAAGGAGATACAACAAAATATAATTCAAACTGTGCATTAGAATCATTAAAATATTACAAAATAGATAATAAAACAACCATTATTAAATTGTATAAGATAATAGACAAATAGCAAGCAGCTAAACACAAGTTTAATATCAGGAACAGGAAGCAATAAGTGACTTTAAAACTACAAAAGAATGTGTAGTTTTTATGGGGGAGAATACTGTCCAAAACATAAATAATATATTTGCTTTCATCTAGGAACCAATATGGCGGCCTGAGAGATGTGGCCTGCTTATTTAAGCAATTCTTGCTCCTGACTCGAGTCAATTCTGTCCTGTTTTGTAAGCCTCGTACATCCTGCACCGCACATCCCTGTTTTTAAATTCCGCTTTTAGCAGATAAAAGTGATACCACAGAGAATGTTCAACAGATCAAAATCATGCGCATCTCAAATCTGTAGATAACGCAGCCTGTCTGATGTGATATACAGAGGCCTGTGTTGCAGTTCCACAACATTTCCCTTCGGTGTTATGGCTCCATCACAGCAGTCTGCACTTTCTGTTTCCTACGGAGGCCATTATTGACTGCATGATAATCCGCAATTTAATGGTTTCCCTCTTTCCAAAGTGAAGCAAAAAAACGAATAAAAATAAAAGAAGAAAATATGACGTATTGAATCATGACACGTTCTGCCAAAACAAAACCACAAAGTGTTGTATTAAAAACCAAAAAGATGAAAGAAATCTTTTATTTTTGTATGATTAAACACAAAATACAAATGATTAAATATAAACATTTGAGTTTTATTTGAGCTGCCAATAAGTGCTTCCAGATAATACTTTCAACCTGATCTAGATGTGTTATTTATGCATTGCCACCATCTGAAAGGTGTTGATGTGGATGGAGGGCTGAATGTAGTCCACCAACATCACAGAGAAATAAAAGGGTAAGACAGAACTGTGGAACAACTGGAATTTATTAAAACAATAAACCAAAGCAAAGAAAGCAGCAGCTGAACAGCTGCTTAAAAAAGCTCAACAGTCTGGTTCATAAACTCTGATTGTTCTCCAGCTTAAATCTAATCCGAGGAGAAATACGTTATTCAGTAGAATCAGCTGCAGATATGCTGATAATGATGAACTAAAACTTTGCTTGTATTTGAAGCCCTACAAGCATTTGGACAGAGCAAGACGACGGCAGCACACAGTTCGGTTACAGAGTGTTGAATAAAGTGAATAAAATGATCCAGGGTCTGTGGTTGTGAAAATATGATCTGAAAGTACCTTATAGGATCCTTCTGGACATTACTTGAAAGGGAATTGCTCTGAACACAGTTAGCACAAGAATTATTGAATTGTCAGCCTGATATTATCATGTTATCAATCAATCACTTTTGGGAACTCAGGTCCAGCAGGACTTGCTGTCGGTCCATCTTTGGGCTCTTTAAAATAATTTCCACTGTGCTTATTTTTGAGCCGTTTCTGTTCACAGGTAAAGATAATGTTTTGCTTAAGCAACTCATCCTTCTGGTTGCTGTTTACAATGTCTTTATCAGTGTCGATTAGCTTTGTTTTTACAATTTTTAAGGCTGGTACCAAGTTAGTGGAACGTGGTTGATACCGAGTATATTATCAACCACATTTGAGGTAAACTCAAAACTATATGAATACCATTACGAAGTTTTGAATATCCTGGGTGTAGGCATTGTATTACAATTTTAGAAAATTGTGCTACAGCATGAAAAGAATATATAATATTCCTCTTTAAGCAAACACTTAACTGAATTCGGAGGTCTTTTAAAAATAATTATTTATTCATTATGAAATCATATGTTCTGCTTATATATAAAATCACAATTGGTTAGGAAAATACCTCACAGTATAATTAACCGTTCCTTAATTGTTTGATTAACACAAAACCAAATGAATGAGACATCAAGAAGTCTCAAGATTTGCTATGATTGGACCACAGAAGACAACCAAATATGAAATGTTTCTCTCCATGGAGCAAAGGCACAGACTGCAAATATAATTCCTTCTAAACCTCAATGCTGTGCTTCAGTAATCGGTGTAATAGAGAATGTCAGGATGACAGATCTGAAAGAGAAACAAAGCAATTATACATCCACAACAATATTCTCCCCCGATAATTCTACCCTGTTTTACTCTGAAGCATTAGGTCTAAGTAAGGACACAGTTTGAACCTGCCTTCCCAAGAGAAAGACATTACAACAGTAATAAAAGTAAATTGCAAACATGGCTTGCTAATTAATTGCTTGTTTATTTTAATAAAAGTCATGATAGGCAATATTCTGAAGTGCAATGCTTCATTAGATATGGAGCTATTAAGAGACCTGGACATTCATGCATTCCCATATTTTGGCCCATGCAATCAGATATACTCAAGTCTTACATACAGATATTCACAAGCACTCATAAAAACATTGCTGTCTGTTTTACGTAATGTAACTTTCACAAGTGTAATGAGGATATCAGCCATATTTCCCCATTCATGTTGAAGTGATCTTAAACGTGATTGCGTACAAAGCCAGCACGACTCTCGGTTGAGAAGTAGGCGATCCTTGTGGGGCCCCTTACAGTAATAACTGCACCTGCTGAGGATGCAGTCTGGCGGCATGGTTTCATGTTGCAGTGTGACATTAAAGATTAATGCAAACTGACAAACAAGGAATTCCTCCAGATTTTGAGGAGCAAAACACAATTGCTGAGAGGAAATGAGTGAATGACCTTTGTGTACCGGCTGCAAAAATTACCATACTTCCTTGTTTTCATGAGGGAATAGGAAGATAATGAATAAATGAATAAATTCAGTTGCTGTGTTGATCGAAGAGACAGACCAGACTTTGTGTTGGCCCAAACAAAGTAAACAACTGGGAGCAGCTTGAATATTTGAAACATTTGAATCAATTGTCCCAAATCACTACATAAGTCGTAAGGGCATTCATCATCGTGAGGTCAAGATCTTATTTCCCTCAGAAGAAAAAAGCCAACAATTTCCTTAAAGCAAACAGTTGTGACAATCTATTGTTGATTTTCTTCTGAGGCTAACTTGTCACATTAGCTTAAGCTCAGTGTCAAGTATTGGTGCTTAACAGCAGTTTTACTGTTTCTTGGAAGACAGATTTATGACCAATTCTGATTTTTCACTGAGCAACTGACCAATCGGACAAAAACGTCTGGCAGCGCTAAGGGCCACATTTATATTGGGCTTCTGTTTTTCTATTCCAAGCTTTTTCAGATGACAAAAACTAGAGTTCTGTTTTGTTTAAAAAGCCATTTTACAAGCGTATGATTTCTCTTTATCTTTACCCTTAACCTGTCTAAAGAGGTCCAAATTTCAACCGGAGACTGATTGACTGACTCCATGGATGGATGGATGGATGGATGGATGGATGGATGGATGGATGGATGGAAAACAGACAACTGAAAAGAAGTCTGAAGATATTAATATTTTGCATATTCTCTTCTGAACATTAATATAAAACATGTTAAATTGAATCTACACATTCAGAGTGCATTGAATCCCTGTTTGCAGGAGTGGCCAATTTCTTCACTAAAATAGATCAAGCGAAGCAGGAAAATGAAAATGCATTATTCATAACTTATTAGTGTACTTCTGAACCTTAAAGTAAAAGGACTGGGATAAAGAGCATGAAACAAAACACCTCAATCAATGCACATTTAATCAATTCACTTTAATAACAAATGGAACAGGGGCATAGATGTTGCTAGGATGTTGTTTACTGCTATGTCTCTTACCTCTGGGAGAAAATGTCCCTGTAGGGGCTGCCGTGCTGCATGGCGATACCATATCCACGGTCTGGCGCGTTGCTGCTTACAGTGTAGAATGAACAATCCTCATCATTATTGGCCACGTACTCCAGCACTGCTGCATCCCACACAAAGCCAAAGCGGCCATATTTCACCTTAATGAAAGGGAAACAGAAGAAAGAAGACATTCTTCTTTAGCAGGAATCCTATAGAGTATCTGAGTTATTCTGGTAGTTAATTTAAAACATTTTTGTTTGCAAAGTCATGGTTACATACATTAAGCAGCGAGAAGTCTGCTAGTACTAATTTCCTCCAATACCGAGAGACTTCCTAATCGCTTTCGATCAGTGATTTTGTTGTCTGAGTAATATTACACCCTGACTCCCCTCTTTATGTGGTGTGGACCAGTGCGTTTAACAGAGATCCAACTTTATTGTTCCACATTCTTGTAACTTTAGATGTATGTGATATAAACAGCCTTGTTTATCACTCACTATGAAGCCAAGTTTGGGATCCTTTTCGCATTTTATGCAGGGAACATTTCCATGCTGTCAGTGTGTTTAGTCCTAGTGTGCGATTGTTGTTGAGAAAGCCATAAAGGACTTAAAATGGGAATCACGTCTTAGTTCAGTTGAGGTGCTTGCCGTTAACACATCCTGTAGTTAACATTCAACAGAGTAATATTTTTTTCTACAAGAACAAAAATATGGAAACAGGAGAGGCTGTGATATTCTCATGAAAACACCTTTGATACTTCAAACAGTGATAAATACAGCAGCCAGACACAGAAAGATACACACAGACTCACACGTACACACAATTTTTTCATAATACATTATTTTGGACTTGGTGTGTCATTAACTTTAATGGTGCTTTATAAAATTTTCAAACCCATCTGTGTTTTAGCGTGTGTGTTTGTGTGTTGCCTCACTTGGCTCATACGTGATGACTAATGTCCGAGGGCTGACAAGGCCTTCTGATTGGGTGATTTCACAGCTTTAAGTCTGCTGCAGTATGCGTGTGTGTATGTGTGTGTACACACGTCTTCAACATTTTGCTGCAGGATATCAAAAGGGATCATATTACTCTTTACAGCTTTGAAAAGAAAGAGAAGAGCACTGCTATTAGCTGTGAAGAATGCTTTCATGCCTTCCATTTATTGCTGCTGAATTAAAAAAAAAAAAAAACAGGTTTTGCAAAACAGAAATTAGTAAAAACGTGTACTTAAATTTCATAATATGAAATATAAGGAACACTTTTGTTTACTAAATTTAAATGAAATGGCCTAAAAAATATATTGTGAGTTTTATGTGTGGTTATTTCTGTGGCATGACTCACAATTTTGACATGAAAAAATATTGCAATTACACTTACAGGGACATCTTTCATTTTAATAATACTATAAATTAAGGTTGAAATAAATAAAATCTGACTTTCTTGATAAAGCACACTCATGATGAGCAATAAGGTCACGGTAAATATTAACAGAGACTTCACTGTTATAAAAGCTTCAGATCAGTTAAATTAAAAGCAATATATGAATTGTTGACCCTTTGATTATTTTTTCCCATTTTTCATAATAAAGAAAGGAGATCCTATAGACAAGAATAATATAGAAATGTGCGTTAAAGTCACTTCTAAGTTAAAACTTGCATCAGACTATGTAACTCTGGCAAACAAGACTCCCAAGACTACTCTTCCTTTTTTTTTCCATTGCATTGGGACTGCACATTATAACTCAGTATGTTTACATGCCTGTTATGTTTTCATGTTATTATTTTCATATTGTAGTATAGCAAGGAACTTTTATTATATTAGACTGTCCAACTTTCAGTGTTTGCAGTACTTGTTTTCATAGACTGCTCATGGTACCTCAGCTCACTTTGGTCACTTTCATCACCATCATGCTGCTTCAGTATTTGTTATGTGTACATATGGGCAGCTATTCTTGGTCTTATTTACAAAGTGTTATCATTTTATCTGAGACATATGTGTGCTTGAGGTCCTTATCTCAATACTCCCAAATGTTTTGAATGTTTTACTGGCTACAATTTGTAATTAAATTGACATAAGTCTAAAATAACCATAAGTCTTTCATTTCACTTTACCATCAGTCTAAAACAGTCTTGTATAAATACTTATCTGGAAGGGTGCATCACTTAGTTAAAAATTCCTTTTTTTAAAGAGTCCGCTTTGAATTTTAATGAACAAGAGCAAATGTAGTCTTGCTTTCGTTCTTTTTTTTTTGTTACAATTTCACATGTTCAACCTGTTTAAAGTTCAGCTGCTAGACTTTTAGTAACTATAACATTAATCCATTACTGGTGCATATAAAATGGTCTCCAGGTAACCATACAATAAGAAAGGCTACAGACAGGAATAGTAGTTGACAGCATAACTGAAAGCAAAAACATTTTTAGTTTGAATCTCATTTAGCTCCCTTTTCAGCCCTTTTCTCTCAAAAACAGTATTCTTCATGCTATGCTCTCCCTGATGCAGAAACAACGTAGAATTATATACCAAATTTTGTTCCAATTTTGGCAAATCTAGTTCTGATTTAAAAGACTCATCGTCCCCTTTTTGGAATCGGTAAGATAAAATGATTTTCATGTGGCTTTAACACATTTATATAATGTCATATGTTTATTATTTTACTATAATTATTCCTTTTATATCCTGCTGATCCTAAATCTGTTATAACGCAAAATATGTTTTGGCTTGACAGCTAGACTGATCCAGTTTTTCTTATCAAAAATAAATCTATATCACCATCAACATCAACATGAGCAAAATCCTGAGCAGTTATCCCAACTAAGAGCATTGTGGTGAAGTAGGTGAAGGAAAATGTGGTTACCTGCAGCAGTGCTTCATAAACAGAGAGAAAATGCATGCAAATAGGGAGTATTGATTTCATACATTAGAACAACTACTCTACATACACAGCATCACCTAAATATTGACTTAACTTTGATTAATTACTGAACACAACAATCACAGCTGGGGTGGCACTATAAAAATGATATCCTGAAGGCCATTTTTCTTTTGTGGTGCAGCAAATCAACAAATACTTTGTAAAATAATCATACATGACACAAGGGGAGGGACAGGAAAATTACATATGAACTATGCTATTTAAGTTCTCCAGTTGAAGTTAATCTGACAGGTGATCCTTCCCCTAACTCAGGGTTAAACAAATTGCTTTACATGTTTATGCAGTGCATTTTTATATAATATATCCTTCAATTTCCTATATAATATTTAACACATTTTAACATTTTTGGGATATATATGCTTTCTTTTGTTAAGGGTTCTTCACTTTTGGGTAAGGAGAATTACTAACCATACCTATAGTTTGGTAATGACAGAACTGGTCTAATTTAATGAACAAAACATGCTCACACAAAACACATCCTGTTAATAACTTTTAGGAATGTGAACGTTATTCAGTCGTGTGAACTCATCTGAGACAAACACCTACCATAAACCCCTGTGACCTCCTTCAAGCTAGTGGGCGGCAGTTCACTTATGTTGACTTAAATAATTAAAGAGCGAGAGAGAAAGGGACAGTAAACGTTGCAAGGGAGTGCAAGGAAGTCAGACAGCTTGTGAAGACAACAGGTTTGCTTTCCAGACCATTTATTATCACTGTAAGAAGTTATCTTTTCATCACACACACACACACACACACACACACACACACACACACACACACACACACACACACATATAAGTATGTATTTTTTATTTTTTATTTTTGCAAGAAAGATTGCAAAAGGTTTCAAAATGTCCTCATTTTCCAGACTAATGTAAAAACAAGGGTATGTCTGCCTGCAAGGCACTTCATTGTGCTACTGTAGTTAAGGTTATTTTCTGCTGCATTACTGAATCACAGTCACACAACCAGACTGTCAAACATCAATCTAAACATTAGACAGGGAT